CATAGGGAATTATGGGTACAAGGCCTAGGTTGTCATAGGGAATTATGGGTACGCATATATATTCAATCACTATAGGTATACCGGGGGGTTGGTAAAAACTGTCTCATCAATGGATACCTAGTAGTCTAGAAACACATTGAGCATACGGTTGGGTTCCATCTCATTGATATTTATATAAATGGCCTTCAAATTTAGTGGAGTGGATTCTTAATTTTCTCACTGTCTCGTCTTTAATACTGTCAAAAGAGAATCTGTTACATACTTATAGGGGAATAAAGTGTGTGTCTTCTTCTGTTTCCATAGTTACATCAGATGTTGTTACCGGGCAACAAAGACTCTTATTACTATTGGTGCTCTACCTGATCCGGTGACAACTTTTGAAATATTCTTCATGAATGTGGATTTTATTATTGGTATCTTCGTTTTTGCCACAATTATTGGCCAGGTGAGTATGCCAATATGATGGTTACTAAGGATCCATAAGATAAAGGAGTACAACTTAAATATCTCTGTACATCTTATTTTGTGTTTATGTCTATCAAATGTATCTCTATGTGGATGCCCAGAAAGATTGCATAAACCGAGTTATAAAGTGAGATTATCAATGTATCTCTATGTGGATGCCCAGAAAGATTGCATAAACCGACTTATAAAGTGAGATTATCAATGTATCTCTATGTGGATGCCCAAAAAGATTGCATAAACCGAGTTATAAAGTGAGATTATCAATGTATCTCTATGTGGATGCCCAGAAAGATTGCATAAACTGAGTTAAGTGAGATTTGTCAACATCACATGAATCACACGAGTCTAAATTTTGAAATTTACTAAAAATCTCAAGGTGAATTAATAGTAAAATTTACATTATGGGCAATTGTTTGCAATTCCTTGTTTTTTCTGTTCACAATTATTGCATTTATTAACACTCAAAAAAAATTCAGGGTGCCCAGGCATGTATGATTTTGTTAATGATTTTTTATTGAACATACAAGTGCATTAATTAGTTATTCATGCTGTGAGTGACGTATAATACATATTATACTATTTCTATTTATTATGTGAAAAAATATTATCAAAACCAATTTCATTAAACTTACACTAAATGTAATCATTCTGCAAGTAAGCAAAAATTTACATTCGTTGTTAAAATTTTTAAATTTAGGTGTGTGTGTGTGTGTGTGTTCATCATGAAAAAAAGCTAATCTTCAGATTGTGAAATATTAAAATTGGGTGACTTTTTAAAATAGTGAATCAATATGCCTAAATTATTTACAAGTCTTAATTGCACAACCATTATACATGTATAGTCAGACAAAAATCACTTGTTATATTCATAATTTCCTTCTTGGTATTATTTGGAGGTGTGTTATCTGATAGATTGTCTGTTTCTTATTGATATAAGGAACTCATTGCAACTAATGCATTTTATAACAAAATCAGACTTGTTGGCTTCTCAACATGTACATGGTATTTTATACATCTACTGAAAGCTGTGATATAGGAGAAAAAAGATGGGTATATTTTGTAACATTGTCTGTTTATTATATTCTGCTATGGATATAAACTGGTAAAATGTTGTAGCATAACTGTTATTTCATTATATCCGTTCACACAAGATGTACACTAACACACTGTATGAAATTGCTAACATTTTCAAAGTGATGTTGCAAGACTATATCATCAGCATTTATTTTCAATAAACACAATAATAAGCTAGCTATTAAAAAAAAATGCTAAAAATATGAATTAAAATCTTTCACAACTTAATTCTAAAAGATAAAATATTTGCAGGATATTCAGCTGGAATCTTTTTTTGCATCACCCTTGATTCAAGCATCATTAAGGGAGTGCAACAAACTGTATTCCAAGCAAGTCTGTGTTATTCTGTATTCTGGGCTTAATAAAAATAATTAGGAAGAATTCCCAAGTCACTTAAGGGATAAAATGTAATGCTATCTCTTGAATCCATAACCTGGAAAAAACCCTCTGCTGCTTTTGATGTTAAAGTAAGCTTGTTGTACATTAAGATTGGTATATAACTAGTGTCTGCAGTAACATATGTCTTGTCCTGTGGCTGTCATTGCGTTAATGATGTCTCATTGGTCTAATGCCTTACTGAATTGATGCATCAAGTGTACATGCTGTTTTATTCACTCAACAACTGAGTTGATGACTTGTTACAGACAATAAACCATGTTTCTAATCTACTACTTAGGAATAGTTTTAGCAATAAGGGTTATGCCTGTCTTTGAGAAAAAGGGACTAAATTCAACATCGGTTCTAAGAGAGTGGAGATTTTTTGGAAGGAATTTCCTCACTCATTTTGAATAAAAAGTAGAATTTTTCAGTCCACAGATCTACAAATTGTCCTTTTTATTTGTGGTTTCTGGCATGGAGAACCATTAATTGGTGAAATTAGACACAAATGGACCAGATAGAAAAGAAATTAAACTCCCAACTGCGCATCCTGGATGGTTGAGATATTTGAATCAGTACTTGTGTAAATACAGATTTATTATTTCCGACTTCAGTGTTTAATGCTTGCAGATATGCAATCAGTTGAAACCCTATATTAAACATTTACCAGTATTACTATAAAAAATAGGAGAAATTAAAAAGCACTAGAAATGCTTGTGAAATGTTCAATCAAATAAATGACATAAAAATAATAAAAAGTGGAGGACATGAATCTGTTAACATAGAAACAATGACTTCCCTGTTTAGTCCTATTCTTGTTTGAATTTAAAAAATGGCCAAAATGAGAAATTGAGGTTCATAATTCAAAAAACTAGTTTGCACAGCCTAAGTTTTTCTTCTGATTCAAATTGCCAGTCATGTGGAATAACAAACTTTCAAAAAATGTAAAAAGTGATTTAATAATAAAAATTAACACATAATGTAAACTTAATTTTTTTGTAAATTAGTGAATAAGGGTAACCATAACAGCAAGCATTTCACTTGGACTCATCTTAGTACACCCTGTTACCTTAACTTTCGCTTAATTTTGCCTTTAAAATCGCTGAATCACAAAAATTCCTACTAGCTAACATTAAGCTGTTCACAGTAAGAGCGCTTTATTTTGATCAACTGAAATAACGGAAGTCAAGTAGGAGTCATATGTTTGATAATTCTCAATTACGTATCCTTACATGCACAGTCCTTAAGCGGGATCTTGGCTGTACTCTTGCCATCAAAAATTTGTATTGATTTGTCACAGCTGTTTACTAAATGTGCCCTTTTTGAGGAAGAATACATTGATGTCGTCATATTGTGAATAGAGGTTGTAATTCCCTGCCTATTTGATGCAGTCCCCCCTCTAGGGTAGCTATATAATACAAATTGCTTTTCATACCGGAGTCAAGTTGGTCAATAGGTTAATGTATTTTGTGTACACTGCTAGCTTACTGTGACATTCAGATAGGCTTTGTTGGTTTTAATCAAGTTTTATTTCAAATTTTTACAATAAATACATTAATTGTCATTCAGTTCATATAAATATGTTATTAGCAACTCAAATTTAATTGAGCAAAATATATAATAAAAATTGATAATAATTCTCCCATGGTATTTATTAATTTATAAAAACAAAGGAATTGTAGATGTGAAATGAGCATAAATTTTTGCTCATCTAATAATTTATAACTATCAAACAAACAAAAACCTTATTCTTCTATGCTGAAAATTATATCATGAATCATCATGAATTCCATTTAAATTAAAAAATACCCAGTAGTAATTGTTGCTTGGTTACAGATGAGAGATATCCTTGGTGATGCCACGGCAACCACAGAAGCATTTCGAAGGAGAATGGATGACACTATGAGACTATTGAATACATGGAAAATACCAGAAAGTGTGCAGAAAAGAGTGCGTATGTGGTATATGTATAACTGGGAAAGAGGAGAATTACTTGGTAAGTATTTACAACAGTAAGTATTTATCTCCATACTTTAAGAACACTACCGCCACAAGCCAGCCAAAATACTACCACCTCAAGCCAGCCGAAATATTACCTCCACAAGCCAGCCAAAATACTACTGCCACAAGTCAGCCAAAATACTACCACCACAAGCCAGCCAAAATACTACCACCACAAGCCAGCCAAAATACTACCACCACAAGCCAGCCAAAATACTACCACCACAAGCCAGCCAAAATACATCAACCAAAATGATAGAAAGCACTGATTGAGCTGCCTATTTGTTCTTAACAACTGTCTTCCACCATCTATTTATTAAACATGACTGGAATGATACAACCGGTCAGGTACACTGGTTACTGTCAATTTTGTAATTTTATATTAGATTGTACTTTAGAGATTTTGTATTATTTAGTAATTTAGTGATTGTATTTGTTATTTAGTACATTGTGTTTTTGTTTTGTTTTTTTATATATATATTTCTCCTTGTACTTTGTGACCATTTTCTTTCCCTCCGGGGATTGTGTAAGAGTCAATAAGTAAAAATAAAAAAAACTGGTTACAGATGGAAACACAACAGTTTACAGTGGTGACACTAAAACAAACATAACATAACATCCCTATCAAATATGAATATCAATACTGAGTATAGGCATGCATCATTGTTAGAGTATACCTAAACATAATATTGGTAAAACCACAGTCTAAATGTTATACCTTTTGTTTTTAGCAAACTTCACTATCTGCAAACATGAAGAATGTATGTGAAAAAAAAAACATTAAATATTATCATTATAGTAATTATTCCATGTTACATGTTATAAACTAGTGCAGTATAAAACTGAAACATTATTCACATACAATTATTTTAATAATATTTCTGTGTTTATTTACAGATGAGAAAGAAATAATGGAAGCAGTTCCTGTGAAAATGCAGACAGATTTAGCTATACATGTACATATGGACACTTTGAGTAAAGTCTCATTATTCCAGGTAAAGTGAAAGCATAGGGTACTGATGCAAGATAGCAGTGTGGGGTGCTATAACATAAGGTGGCACTGTTCAAGATGGCAGTGTGGGTGCTATAACATAAGGTGGCACTGTTCAAGATGGCAGTGTGGAGTGCTATAACATAAGGTGGCACTGTTCAAGATGACAGTGTGGGGTGCTATAACATAAGGTGGCACTGTTCAAGATGA